GTTGCCAGTTCAGTGGGTCCAGGTGGTTGAGTATCAGAGTGTTCCATCTCATTTCCCTTTGGGGTTGCTGTAGGTGATCTGGAAGTTTGGTTTTGAGATTTATTTACGTGTTTTCTCATTTCAACTGGGGCAGGGGGCTGTTAGCACCTGCATGGATGACCTCCTCTGAGCTGGGTGAGGTGGGACAGGGGCCGGGAGCAGCGGTTGGGATGGTCACCCAAAAGCCCTTTCCTGTGGGCTGGGAGCAGCCGGAGGAATGGTGGCTGGGAAACCCCTTCCTCTGGACCAGGAGCAGTGGGATGGTGGCTCAGAAGCCCCTCCCTCTGGGCCGAGAGCGGTGGGAGGGATGGTGGCCCGGAAGACCCTTCCTCTGGGCCAGAAGCAGTGGGACAGAAGGTGGCCCAAAAGCCCTTTCCTCTGGCTTGGGAGCAGCGGGAGGGATGGTGACTGGGAAGCCCCTTCTTCTGGACCAGGAGCAGTGGGACGACGGCTCAGAAGCCCCTACCTCTGGGCCGGGAACAGTGGAACTCAGTACCTTGGTCTGGTCGTCTGGTGTCCTCTGCGTGTTTGTAGTGTGGAATCAGGTGGCTGCCTGTCTGCAGCGGGGTGATTCGGTGTCTTCCGCATGACTCAGGACCTCGGTAGGGCGTGCACAGACCTGCCTGTCTGCAGGGGGCTGATTCGGCGTGTGTTCCACGCGACTGGGGACCTCAGTAGGGTGTGGCTATAGTTCTTTAGTATATCTCAATTTTTTCTAATAGTATCACAAATAGGTTTTTAACAAGATCCTTAAGTAAAGGATACTTAGACACCAAGATTCCTAAACACCAAGTCATCCTAAAAGATAATTCTTTCAAAATTATCAGAAATTAGAATTTAAACATTTGTCATTGCTAGTTCAAGGACTTTTTTTTTCTTGCTTCCAAATCCCTGTTGTAAAAGATAAATAAATGCCTCCACTCTACATCCAAGTCTGGGCACTTAGCAGTCTTTTCTAAAAGGCCCCAGTTTATAATGCACTTTGTAAATTTGGCAGGTAGACAGCTACACTCTTAAAGAATCGTATCCTCAGGAAACAGATTTAGCTTGTTTATTGGTTCCTCCGATCTTCAAAATGCATTATGACTTTCTTTTGGGTTGAATGAGTTAGATGCTCTTTAGCTAAAATGTGTACTTGGATGCTTTAAAAATGAGGAAGAACTTTTACTGTTGGTTTCTAACGGGAATTCAAGGCAGTTGTCTCTAACAGTTCTTACTGATTCAAAACATACATTTCCTCCTTCTTTGTCATACTTCATCCACTAATTAATCAAGGCACTTACCAATTTTTATTATTAACTATGCATATTTTTAAAATTTAACACAGATTAAAAAGTGAGACAATATGAAACATGTGAAGGGAGGCTATGTAATACTTCAGGAAAGGGTAATGAGAATCTGAACTAAGGAAATAACAGCAAGAAAGGAAAGAGAGAGAAAGAGAAAACAATTCTTTGTTAGAATGAACAGGATGTGGTGATTCACCGCATGTGGTAGTGTGATAAAAGGTAGTTAATGATACATCTAAGTTGCCCAAGTAAACTGTGTTGATGGATTATTCTCACGGTAAAATTTAAAGACAGTGGAATAAGACTGACATGAAAAAAATCATAAATTTTACAAATTTTAGTTTTAGTCTTTGCAGAATATCTTCCAGGAAATACTTAACAAGCAAATAGGAAACTCATGTACACAGAGGGACAGACACATGGGAGTCACAAGATAAGGTACAAAAATAACTGAGTTTACTCAAGGAACACATACAGTTCACTGGGATGAAAATTAAAAATAAGCTACAAGAAATGCCAATATTAAGCCATACAAGGAGGAAGCCAAGTTTTTAAATGATGATGAGTAAACAGAGACGTAGGAAAAAAGTGAGGGAGAAGGCTGCAAGGACATCAGGGGAGGTAAGCATTTCACAAATGAAGAGGTCAGGTCTGTCCAGAGCAACGAAGATGTCAGCTATGACAAGGAATGAAGAATAGCACTAACTGTTGATCTAATCCACATCAATAGTGCAAGCAGAAGTGAAAACCAGAATCCACTTAGTGGCAGTGAAAATGAAAAGAGAAGTTACAATAGAAACCCAGGCTGTTCTTCAGACATATGGTGATGAGCAGACAGGCAAAAGAGGTATCGAGAAAGCAGGGTGAAGTAGTATAAACTAAATATTTTTTAGGATAAGAGAGACATAAATTTTTTCTTGTGAGAAAAATAAAAGCTTTTCTGGAGAAGAAATATTTGAAAAGGTATGTGCATTCATGGCTTCTATGGTGCACATCACTGATATTACTCTGTTTCTTACTGAGGAAGATAGAGTCAGTCATATCTGAGGTATATTCCTATCCCACATACAACATTTCTCCCTGACCACAGGCAGCAAGATCAGTAAGGACCACATGTTACCACCTGCACACTCAACCTAGAATAGCCAAGTCCTCAATCGCTGCACTGTTATGCCCTCTTAATAGTGGTTTCCAGTAAGCACCACAAAAACTATCAGGGAGAACAGGGACTTGAGAGTCTACACCCAGGCAGGGTTAGGAAGGTTATTTTTTCATGTGTGCAATGATGAGTAAACACAGACACTTGGTCTTTATAGAGAGGAGAAGCTCAGAGGAAAGACAGTAAAAAGAATATGCAGCCGCAGAAGAGAGAATGAAGTAGAGAGAAGAATAGCTAATACGCTCCCTACCCACTGTCCCTGTTGGCAGGCCCAGCTCCCCACAGGCCAAGATGTATTTCACATTTAGGAGATGCTCCTAACTCTTGTAATAAAGCCTCTCTGTGTGAGATGAGTGAATACATTTTTCTCCTTGCAACTAAACAATTATGCCAAGAAAATATGACTCCTTTCCTGATTCTCCCAAGGATGTTTGGAAAACTTGCAATACAAAGCTACAAAAATAAATTTTAAATGTCTAGTCATGATGGTATAAACCTTCTCATAAAGAACAAGAAGGTGGCAGGGTGAGCACAACTTTACTGGTGAAGAGCAAGTTGCAGCATTTTTTCAGTTTATAGAAAAGTCGATCATTAAGGCACACTCTTAATACTTCTTCACAAGATTCTGCTCTATGCTTCATCACACAAATAAATTCATAGCTCCCTTAATGAAGGGGTGACTAGTAAATTGTGATTTTTTTTTAACCACCACATCTAGTTCTCAGTCACCCCAAGTCTGTTTCCTAGTTTATGCTCACTCCTCTCCTCTCCTGACTTATGACATTCACGCTCTAAGATACTGGAAATCACACGCCTAATTACTCTTCGTACAACAATGCAAAAGTGAAAGATAAACATCTGCAGGCACAAGTATTAGTCCAGCCAACCTCCCAACCCAGGCACAGCTGCCAATTTTACAGCTACATACTCAGGCTTCTCACTGGACCTTAGTGAACCCTTTCCAGAAGGTTGTTTTCACCCCCTTCAGCCCCACTTATTAGGTGTGGCCTAAGTTCAGTCCCACAGGACATCCGAAAAGCTGACGGACTGCCCTTGTTTCATCAGAACATCTTACTCTCAGCCTCCCTTGCTACCTCTGCCTGTTGGTCCTCAAAGCCTGGACACCCTGCTGCTAGCAGGCTGGGAGCTCTTGAAGAATAAATGAGGAGAAGACCAAAAGATCAAGACTAAGAAAGAAAAACTGCACAGAACTTGAGGACAGTAACCACGTCTATCGTGCTCACACTGTGCCCTCAGAAACTGGGACGTGCCTGGCCTAAGTTCACTCTCAGGAAATACTGTTAAACAAATAAACTACAAGGAAAAGAGAATAACAAATCACTCTGCCTTTACCCAAGAATTTCCCACTCTCTCAAAAGTGAACCCTTCCAAAATGACATGGACTAAAAGTCATCTTGCTTAATCTAATCCTGTTTAAAACAAAACAAAAAATTGTCTTAAGTTCTTAAATATTTAATACATAAAGTAAAAAAGATTATTTATTCCACTTATTGAAGGAAAATTTCTTTTTATATATTTATATTCTTTTTATATTCCAAATGTGACTGTAGGACTCTTTAAAAATGTTATTTTCTACTTCAGTCACATTACATTGTAAAGTTATAAAAAGTAATTTTAATACTGATAAATCAGCATAAATAGTAACAGTAAAAATCATCATAGAAACATATGAACTTACATGTTTGGACAAGTTGGGACTCTTTGAATCAACATCATACCTGAAAAATGAGACATAAAATTCAAATTATTTCCACAAATACATCTAGAGAATATTTTCCAAAGCACATATATGTAAAAATGAATAAAAAATAATACCCATTGGGAGAAAAACCTAGCAAATTTAGAGTTTTTAAATAATCTGTTGCCTTTATGTTAATGCATTTCCTTTGGTCCTTTTATTTCTACAAATCCTACTATTTTTACAATCATCAATTCTACATTTAGAAGATTAAAATGCATCTTGTCGATGAAATAGTAAGATCCTAGTACTACTCAAGTGACGGCAAAATTTCCTAAAAACTGAACTTCCCTCTTCTCTGGATATCAATAAAAATAAAACAGGCCCTGGTAACACCATTTATATTGTCATTCTTTCTTAATATCTTAAATGCTATCGTGTAATGTTAAAAACAGACTAAAGTAATAAGAAACTATTTTCCCTCATCACAGTTCTCGGGAAAACTGTATTTTATGGGAAAAGATGGTACTGACAATAAATTATCTCCAGGAGAGATTCTGAGACAATATCTTCCACTCTCACTTTAGCATCTTGCTTTCAAAAGTCTGTAGAAACAAAGCAACCACTAACTGTCCAAATAACCTGTGTGCCAAGCACTTCTAATACAAAAATATATATACTGGGTCCAGTCTTTCTCCCAAATCATCTCCCTTTCACAGTCCTGGTACAACGCTTCCTACCAAAACTTAACTGCCTTTTTTTAAAGGTTAATTAAACTTCTCACTCATATAACAAGAATGTTTTCATCATGAAGCAAAGCATCTCAATCAAAAAAGCCAGAGTTCACCAAGAGAGCTGATGCTGGGCAGAGGCATGCTATCTCCCTGAGAAAAGAATGCTTCCTGCAAACTTGATTTAAAATTACATGATGCAAATACCTCTGCAGAAGAATCACAAAGCATCCTCCTTCACACCAGGGCACTCAGATCACTTTTCACAGCTGTAGCCTAGAATTTTTTTCCCATACTGGGGATCGAACTCAGAATATTGCACTTGCCGGGCAGGCACGACACCACTGAGCTACATTCCCAGCCCACTAGCCTAGAATTTTAAATCAGCAAAATTCCAACAGCCACTGCAAACCTACAGGTACAGAAAAAATGTTCCTTTCCAAGAAATTTTGCTTATTCAAGATCATTTCTTTTTCAGGAGGTAACACTGAAATTGGGCTGGCTCCTTCTCACAAGTTAACCTCAGAAAATGTCTGAGGAAAAGAACTCAATGGTCAGCTCATTAAAAGAAGGGGGGGGGGGGGGGGGGGCGGTTCATGTTTTTACCACAAAGAAAGTACCTTCAAACACAATCCTCTTCAATTGTATTAGCAGCTTTTAAAAATACTATTGTCTCAAACATAGGTAAATTATATCATGCCTCTGAAGTCTTTAGATAACATATTGGATCACGAAGCAACAGAAATTACCATCATCTTTCTTCTAGTGAAATTTTCCTTCTAACTTTTCAACACTACTCTGGTCTTCACCCTCACAGATCAGAACACAAAAACTACATTTTAAAAAATGGTCAGTGTCAGTGCATGACCGTGTCTATGATTATGAGTGTCATGGTCTAAGGATGAGAGAATATATGCAAAGCAGAACCTCAGTAGTCTCATCCTCCCAGGAAGGTACACCCCAGTGTGCCTAAATTTACTAATCAGAATTCTATAAACAACTCCATCCTGCCACTGAAACTTTTATTACCAAAGAAATTAATTGGCGGTATCTGGTTTATATGGATCTTAAAGGCTATGTTTTCCATTAGAGAGGGACAGATGTTGATGGAATTAGTTCTGTATTTCTGGAACAGCAACCATCACCCAAAGTGAAAAACATAAAATGCTAAGTAACTATTCCTGCCTAGCTCAGACCTATCAAGGAGTCATAGACCTGAGTTTCAAACCAGTCCAGGCCTTGCAATCAGCACAGTATTCAAAAGATGAGGAATTATTCTATCCTTATCTAGGGGCAGGAGAGAGGTTCTTTCCACTCCCCGAAGCCAATTGAGGAGTAGCTTCAGAATCTGGGGTGGCCATGAGACGTGAAGGACAAGATGTGGTTCCCCAGCCAAGGACAAATATGCTTGCAAGTCTACCCTGAGACTGCCAGTGGAAGAGAATGACCCATGAGGGTTCTGAACAACATGATGCAACTTCCTTTTGGGAACCTCTTTCACAATGACAAGATAAGCAGGATGCTTAAAATGTGGAAGCTGGAAGCTGGAAGCTGGTACTGAGGTGAGGCTTTCATTTCCCAGATGGTAAGAGACTCATATCTCGGCCACCAACACTTTCTGCTCTACTCTTCCCTTCTCTCCTGTATGAAGCTGGGATAACAGCTTCAACCAGGGGAGAAGAAGACAGTTCTCAACTCCAGTTTGAAACACTAAAGTTTTAAAGTGAAGGATGTTGTGCATGGTGGCACACACCTGTAATCTCAGCACTCTGGGAGGCCAAACCAATTGTAAGTTGGAGCCCACCCTAGACAATTTACCAACTTACCAAGACCCCGTCTCAAAGTAAGAAATTTTTTTAAAAAGTAAAAATAAAAAAGGCCTGGGGATGTATATCAGTGCAAAAACACTGGGTTCAATTCCCATTACAGCAAGATAGATAGACAGACAGACAGATAGACAGGTAGATAAGGTTACTCAACAACTATTGCAAAGAGATGGCTCTACTACGCACAAGGGGCAAGAAGTACAGAACATGAGGCCTTGCTTGTCAAGGGAGCCCTTAACCAATGGTGAAAACCGGGACTGACATACTAACACAATTACTGAAAGAAATAAAACAACTTTTTTTTCCCTAAAGACTTAAGATAATTCAAAAAAAGGTTGTAATAACATATATTTCATGATTATCACCATTTGATTATGAAGAAAGGAAATAATTTGCCAGGGTAAGTCAAATCTACACGCATGAATTCCTTTTTCTTGTACTGGTCTACATGGAAAAATGGGTGGAAAGGGTTCAACTTCATTTTTTCCATTGTCTAGCAAATATCCATAGTGCTATGGTATCCACACTTCTTGCCGAAAGACATTTTGGTACAGCTATTCTACCAATAAAAAGTTTTTTTTTTAATTTTTTTTTTAATAAAAAGATTTTTAACTGACAAAAAAGTGAATTCATTATATTATCAGAGTGCTAATTATAATTTTTAAATACCAAGTTTGTGACTTCATGCTATATACATAGCACAATGACAAAGACTACATCTTATTTTTAAGACTACATCTTTGAAATGAGTAAGTGCAAACTACATCAAAAGACAAGAGAATTTAAAAAAAAGGACAAGAGAATTTTAAGATGCAAAACTGATAAACCAATCTTAAAAATATATGACAGACATATCACAGTAATAATGAAAATTAGTGTGGCTTAATCAGAACCAATAAATTTTGGATCAGTGGTACCAAAAATATAGTCAATGTCTTCCCTGCCCCATCAATTTTCCTTCAGAATTTTAAAGTAAATAATGATATTTCTGAAAGCCATCTTTAAATCTTTCATAATATTCAGTTACTTAGACAGTATACTTCCAAAATTTTATTTTATCATTTTTTAATTTTGTAAGATCAAAAGACATCAACTAATTCCAAAGCAATTTAGAAAACTATTGCCTCTATCTGTTGGCAAATTTATGTTCGTGATTTTCAGGATGGCTCTACCATCAAGGGGCTATGTCTCTCCCACATGCTGGAGTCTTTGCAGTAGTTCTTTGGGAGATGGGGATTAAAACTAAAGATGATGTCTGTGGCCTAATTTATCATTTTTATTTTCCAAATTTTCTACAATGAACATATACTGTATTATTTCAAGGAGCAATACATTGCTAAGATAAATTACATATATATATAACTGTATAGATAAGAGAGATATTTATATACATACACACATACACACACATACTAACTAGGGAATTATCAAACTATTTCCATACTTATTGCACTTATATGCTTTTTCTGGGGTTTTTTGTTTTTTGTTGTTTTTTTTTTTGGTACCGGGGATCGAACTCAGGATCATGAGCTTGTATGGCAGGCGCCGGAACCACTGAGCTAAATCCCCAGCCTATTGTACTTACATGCTAAAAAAAAAATCACAATGTAAAAGAAATACCTATAAAAAGTCACAAGATAAATAGAGAAATAAAAGCTGCCACAGATTAAAAGTACGATGTGGGAATTTCCAATAAGTGGGAAATGAAAAGGGTTTAATCAAAGCCATATCAAAGTGCTACGTGAACTAAGAGAATGTACTTGCTTCTCATGATATAACTGTCTGAAGGTAACCCTTCTGGCTCTGCTTGTTTTAATTTTTCAGAGATTACATAAAATTGAGATGTTATTTGAATTAATTTTTGAAATTAAACAAAAGTACAATGATAGCTGTTTAATTCTATTTTGTAATATGTTTTCACACTTCAAACATTACGTGGTTTCTGTGAGAATTACTATACTTTCTGGGATGTCAAGGATGTAAAAACCTTTCAATTTACCTATGCAAATTTCTGTTACTTTATATTTTCTTGTCATATTGAGATAAATGCTCCTGGAACACCCATGGCACTGAGTATCAGTGAGGAATGATGAGAAGAATGTGGACCAAGATGCCAGTACAGGACAGCCAAAATGAGATGACAGAAAAGGACCACAGGTAAGTAGAGTCACTGGGCAGAAGCTACACATAGACAGTCACCTGTCTGCACTCAGCAACCAAAAAAATGGTTGTGTTTAGAAATGGTTCTGAAAGTCAGAGCCAATAAACAGAATTCTGTTAAGTAACAAAGCTCATAGGTTTTTCAAGACAGTTTCAAAGATTTAGAAACAGACAATGGGTGGTCTTGTGCATGTCCTTTTATATTAAAATTTGACTTATTCTTTTTAAATAAAAAAATAATTATACACAAGATTTGCATAGAAAATACCTAAGGCAGGATTATATGCAACAGAAAAAAATGGAGAACAGTGAGACTACCTATCAATATCTAAATTACAGTTCTGTCAAACAACTGAAATTATGTGGCCTTTAAAAATCAATGACTTACAAAATGAATGAGTTATATGCATGGTCAGTGGTAAAAAATACTATTTGAAATATTTAAGGTACAGAAAAATATATTTACTGTAATTCATATATATTTATATTTAAAGAAATATATATGGAAAATATATTTACTGTTGCATATAGAGAGAGACAGACAGACAGACAGAGACAGAGAGAAAAGATTGGCCAGTATATACATTGAATCATTTATAGTTTCTTTTTTTTTAAACTGGTATAACAGAACTTTCACTTTTTAAATAGTTCTATCACTTAAAGTTTATAATAAATATTTATTACTTTAAAATGAGAGAAAATATGGATAATAAGAAAGGGAGAGAGAAAAAAAGAAAACAGAGAACAAAGAATCAGGAAAGAGTGACTGCTTTCAAGATAAAAAGAGTAAAGGGGAAAATGTGAAAGGGCGCTGTGACAGCGGTGAGAAAGAAAATTTGTAACAACTGCTCTGAAGGCCTGAACAAGGGGCGCATTAGGCCACTCTGTACACAACAGAGGGCTGCTTCTGAGTAACAATGCCATGTGCAGCTTCCATGATAAACATGGTCAGGAAGCCATTACATCCTACTTCCGCTCTTCTACTCAGAAGCCTCATTTTTATTATTTGAATGAGTTTCTAAGAAATAAAAACCAAATGCGAACTAAATAAAGTTAGTTTGATAAATATGATGAATATTTAGTAATCTTGAAGAAAAAGGAACTGTTACAAAATGTTTTCAAATAGAAGCACTGCAGATTATTTTACTGCATTTATTTTAGAGGAAAATGAGAATATTATCAACACTAAAAATTTCTTTTTTTTAACACTAGGAGTCAAAGTAAGACTTTCTCAAATAAAATATTGATAGCTTGTTACTACAAAAATAAATTGTGATAGAATTGTATACTAAATTTAGGTACTTAAAATAAGGCATTTGTCTTTCTAAAAACTTGTGGGGTTCATAAACATTCTTTAGTTATTTTGATATATGAAGTAAATGCTATAACATTGTTTCTTCCCCTCTCTCCCTAGTGGATTTCCATCTACTTCAACTATCACCACAGTTCACCCTCCATGGAATAAAATCTATAACAATATTTTATAAACAAACCAATTCCAGGTTCTCTGTGGATAGTAAGTTCGAGTTGACAATAATACTTTAATAGCTTTGATTCAGCCTCAAAGAATATTTAAAGAATATTTAAAATGTTAAAAATGCTAGCTATGTCATTCTGGATCTTAAAAATATGAAGCCATCAAGAAGTAACAGGAAGCCAGAGACTGATGTTCTACTCCAAGGAGCTTCAGAGAGAAACTTAATGATTTGAGAGACATCCAGCATCACACTCTGGGGTATACATACAACCTATAAGGAATCCACCTCAGCACAGGGAGGCTCAAAAGGATGTCTATACTTACTACCCAGCATGTTCACTTCTTTATTCAACAAGCATACAAGCCCAAAACCTACAAAATGCAGAGTTCTGGGGATCAATCTAGCACCACACTCCGAAAAGAATAAATCTGCCTTCCTACCAGAGTAATCGACTAAGGATTCAGCGCAATCATAGGAAATAAGCTTATGTTACTAAAATTGTCTTTACAATTTTAGTAAATTTACAAATTACAAAAATTGCAAGTTTTGGTAGAACTTACAAGTCAAAACGAAGATTCTCTCTTTCTTCAAAAAAATAGTCCAGGATAAATTTTCTCACAAAATCAGGATTTAAAGTATTATCAATCACTTCAGTTCTTCCAAACTATTGAGAGGGAGGAAAAGAAGATAAAGAGGTTTAAATCAAGTCTTACAATGGTTATTTATTGTAAATATAACACAGCATTAATATAGTATAAGTATCCAAATAACTTGATCAAATAAAGTCTTTTAGAAAAAAATTTAGAGATCAAACCTTCATTGCTATTCATGCAGAAAATGAGCCATGAATGCAAAAATCAGCTTCTTAAAATTCATATCACAAGCTATAACACTTTCTCCCCCCTTTTCCCTACTTATGGGCCAAATCCCTTTCTTAAAGAAGTTATTTGTTAATTAAATTTAAATTTTTTATAAATTATTTTCCTAACCTTATGTATAAAGAAGGAAGGCAATACATATTGTCAATTTGAGGGGTCAAATATTTATAACTTTCATCCTTAATTTTCTTTCTTTTTCCTTTTTTTTTTTGGTACTGGGGATCGAACTCAGGTCCTTGCGCTTGCACAGCAGGCAGTGAAACCACTGAGCTAAATCCTCGGCCTTCATCTTTAATTTTTATAGAAAACAGTCCTTCACACAATACAGCTGAAACGCTATGTTTGTTGGACAAGTGTCTTGCAATCTATTACACATTTATGCCACAACAATCAGTTATTTTTATTTAATTTTGGTTTTGTTCTTACAGTATCTATCAGCTAAAATGAGACATAACTTTCCTGCATGTTTCTAAGATATATGTCATAGTTTGGCTTAGAAAAAAATCAGTGTCCCCAACTTAGAGCAAGTAGAAAACAGGAAAGAAAGTTTTTTGACCCTTTCTCCCTTCACAGTAAAGGAAAGCCATCAGATACTACTACTAATGACAGATAAACTTTATATCTTTTTGTCCTTCTTTCCCATCCAACTACCATGGAATTCTAATGAGTTTTAACTTTACCTCCGAATAACATTATGCAATCAAGCACGCTGTCTTATCAGAGAACTAATTTTATTGAAGTTCAAGGAAATACTATCTTTTTAATAGGAAAACAGAAGAATGGTGCTAATACATTAAAATGTGAAGGTCATAAGAATTCTTAAATTTTGTTAATAAAACTATGGTGCAAAATATTGATGAGAGGATTTACTGGAACTATTTCCAACTAATCACCCAGCTGCTGATGTCATTGAACAATATTCTGTATCATGAACCAACAAAGTAGTACCCAAGTAATTAATTCAACATTTCAAAAATAATGACTAAATGACTGAACAGTATTATTATACTACCGCTTTATCGAGTACTTACTTAATTCTAAGTGCTTTTCCTACACTACTTTAAGTCTTTACTAGAACACTAGAAAGTAAGTATTATTAACCTCATTTTATAGATGATAATATTGAGGCAGAGGTTATCAAGCCCAGTTACCTGGGGGACAAAATCTACGCTCTTTCTAGGGTTCTCTTCTAAGCATAGAACGTATTAGGTCCCAGAGAATGTTGTGCAATAAGCCTATCTGTGGTTTCTGATTTTAAGGGGATAGGAACAAGAGACCATATACATCTAACCACTGACCAGTAGTGCACAGACATCTAGAGAGCAGGGCAGAGGTCAAGTGATAAGTGTGCAGCAGAGGACGCCTGGGCGTTCCCAGTCTTCTCACTGCCAGGAGGTGCAGAGTATCAAACTAGCAAATGAACAACACTGTCAAATAAAAACTCAGCCAGTCCCATACTCCTCAGCACCCAACTCCCTCTTGTGGACTTTAACCCAAAATTTGGAACTAAGAGTGAAAATGCCCTTGGTAAGCCCCAAGGAATTGGAGCTAGTAGTTCCCCGGGGTGATGAGCTATTAAAGCTCCAGGAAACTGGTTTCTTATGGACACTGATCAGTCAGCAATAAGGATGGCTGAAGGCACTCTGCTATCTCTACTGAAGATTAATACCCAGCCATTACATTCTTGGTTTTTAATAATCATCTATAAATTATGACTATATCCATTCTGAGATGGGAGATGCGGCATGGCTTAGGCTGGCTGGGAAGAGAGGTACGGTGGGAACCCAGAATCCACACAGCACTGCCTCTCAGGACCCGTATGTAAAGTTCTCACAGACTCCCATGAGGTGTGGACAGCATAAAAGGCCACAGCTGCTGTGAAGAGCCCGCTATCCTATCCCTTCACGACAGACTGCCCTTTGTCTCCCAGACCCAGGGTGTACTTTTATTTTTGGTTTTAATTTTTTTCTCTTTCATTTGGTCCAGGTTCACTCTCCAGAGCCAGTTTCTCCCTCAACCCTCACTTTTCATGTAAACTTTGGCACCACTTTTAGATTGTCTTCTTCAATTCTTTATTCAACACAAGAAGAACCTGGAGCAAGAAGCGGGCACTCCAAAACACCTGGTAATGTTTAATTGGCGAGCCATTTCTGAAAGGAGTTACCCGGTAACAATTTCAGTATGTCTTTTGACAAATAATCATGAAATTGCATCTGAGGATACCACCAGTGACTTCATACAGCTAGTCCAGTGGTCTCTCTTTGGCCTTCTCAGTAGCATACGACACAGCTCTTTACCCTTTCTAAAGCACTCTTTTTTGGAACCACATTCCCCTATGTTCCTCTCCTACTCAGATACTCAACATTCAATCTGTCATTTCAAGAGCACAGTTCTAGCCCTGTCTTCATCTTGCCACAGTCATTTTTAGGTTATGTCATCTATTCCTGCTACGGTCTAAGTGTGTCCTTTCCAAAATTCAGGTACATTGTTATGATATTGAGGTGGGGTCTTTAAGAGGTGACTGAGCCACGAGGACTCCTCCCCTATGAATGGGAGTAAGTCCCTTATAAAAGATGCTTCACCCTGTGTCCTTATATCACTTGCCTTTCACCTCTTGCTATGTGAGAATGCAGCAAAAAGACTCTCACCAGGATACCAGCACCTTGATATCTTGGACTCCCAGGCTCCAGGGAGAAAATATTTCTGTTCTTTATAAATTACCTAGTCTTAGGTGTTCTGTTACACAAGCACAGTCAAACTAAGACAATCCCTTTGGCTTTACATCCCATCTGTATAACATTCAAACCTGTATCATAAGCTCTACCTCACCAGAGTACAGACTCTGGCATGCAACCGTCCTCTTAACTCACACATGTGATTCTATTACAGGCCCCTCAAAATGATATCCAAACATGAACCATTTATTTTATGCCACCACCTCTATGCTGGTACTTACTCTGCTTGCCTCCTACCAATAAATGATACCACTCTGGCCATAATGGGATCACCCATGCCAAATGGTTCATCACTTCCTGGTAAATTATCAGTTCTAATTCAAAAACATAGCTCACAACTGCCCACCTCTCTATGATCTCCTATCATCTTACATTCATACTTTTCATACCTCTTATAGAATACTCCAAGGGCTTCCTAAATCGCACCTCTCCTTGTTTTTCCTCCATTAATCCTCTGTACAACAACCAGAGTAATCTTTGGAAGAGCATGTATCAACAACCTAAAAAAATGTAATGGCTGCTCAGGGTATTTAGAAGGTGATCTGTTTGGTCTATAGACTAGCTTCTATCTTCCTCTCTAACCACATTATGGGCAGCAGCCTCTTTTTTTCATTGCACAGGTCCCTGGGCTTCTTTTAACACAAAACCTTTCCAACCTCTGGACATTGTACCTGTTACTTACTCCTCCTAGAATGCAATTAACCTTGCTCCTACACAGCTAACTCTTCTATTTTATGCCTCTGCTTATAGCATCATAGCAGCTCTAAACTTCTACACTTGCAATTACTCATAGCACTTTTTATCTCCTTCATAAATATAATAATTTGGAATTATACTTCGATATGTTTTTATTTCCCTCAATAGGTGGTAAGTACCACGAAGGCATAGGATAAACATATCTATTTGATTTGCATCTGTATAAAAATGAACAAATGGTTAACAAAGAGGGATTGGTAACATATTGGTCTAAGGGGAAAAAAATCAAGGGTAATGTATGGTATAATACCAGTTTTGATTAAACTTGTAAGTATACAGAGAGAGAGAGACAGAGAGAGAAACAGAGAGAGAAAAAATATGCCAGAATATTGTAGTCATCTTCTAATTATATTATGCATTTATAAGGTTTTTCTAATTTCTTAGAAAAAAGGTACTTTTACCTTAAAAATCAGAAACAAAAAACATTTAAGAAAAGACATTTAAGAAGTGTTCCTATCTTTAATTAATTATGAATGAAAACTGGAAATAAGAAATCTACAAACACATTATGACTAGTACAGCTCATGGGAAATACATTGGTTCTTTCCCAGAGGCTAGAATATATTAGCTATCAACCAGGAGATTAATCTTTCTGACTTGAAATAAAATTTAGGTCTTAGCTAATTTATACTACTAATTTAAATTTTCTAATTCTTTCTAAACTGTGTAGTTGCATAGAATTCCACACATATCAGAGGTTTAATTTTTGAAGAAAGATAATTATTAAAAATATTTGTGATAGTATATACCCAGAAGTAACTATATTTGAAAGAATTATAACTTGTACCCTAAAAGTATCATTCTGAATATCAACAATTCTAGATTATTAGAAGTATCTACAAGCCTTATTATAACAATCTCTGGCACAATAAACATGTACCAATATGTGGCATATTAAGTACTTTTACACAATGATACAGTATTAAGTTTTCATTGTCTCATAATTAGGAAACTGTTCTTTTATTCACCAAGTGTGACAGTTTTCAGTTATTTGAAAAAAATATGTAAACTTTAGATCTGACTAAAATATAAAATCTTATGCATTGCAAAACTTAAAGCAAAAATTTAAAAAATTCACAATCAAGTCTTTGAACGTTTCCCTTTATTTTATACTAATCAGATAAATATCTACTTTTCCAATTTAAGAACAAATCCTATAGAAAACAATAGTGTGGAAATATTCCTGATTCCTAAATTAACTAACTGTTACACTCCTTCAGAGCAGCAGCAATGGAAAGAACATTCAGTAATCCATCTATTCCTGGCATCAAGTAGATAAGCTCTGTTTGGAAACA